CTCTATTGATTATATATTTCCAGGGTGAAACCGGAAAACAAGGGCCACTCGGGGCTGAGGGTCCTCCAGGCATCGTGGTGAGAAATGATTGATATAATGTTCCACATACAGAAATGTTGAGGGTGAAATCACAACAAAATCTTGTTTACAGAGCACTTTCATTAACCAGTACTTTACAAAGCCGTTAACAATGATGGATATGGAGTGGCGAAGTCACGCCCATCTACTTCCGCCCCATGGGACCTTATTTCTGAAAAATGATGTATTGAAGTCAATGGAGAGAGAAAACGTATCTTTCGATCCCGTTTGAATTGTGCCAGGAATTACACACATGATGTTTGTCAATCTTAAAAAATCATTTCCATGTCAAAAAAGTCAGTTTGTCGTAAAACTGTTGAAATATAAGACTATGAAAAATACGCAACTAGAAAGACTACAAATCCCAGAATCCCGGTCCCGCATGCTGGCTCTCACGGAACCGACTAACTCCCCTTGTGTGTGTGCACAGCTCACAACGTGCCAGACTTGGAGTGATTTTCACCTCTTTTAATACTTTCTCTCCGCCTCATTCTGAAAGAAAGAAGTGAATGTTTCAACGTGACGGGCCGTCTTGGTGTGTGGTGCGAGACGGAGATGTAGTTCATTGAGCGGGTTTCCACACAAACAAAGTATTACTTCACAGTTTTACGACACATTTAAAAAAAATTGACTTGCAAAATTATCTTTTAAATTGACAAACATCATATGTGTAATTCGTGGCACAATTCAAACGGATCGAAAGATAATCTTTCTCTCCATTGACTTCAATACATACTTTTTCAGAAATAAGGTCGGAGCTCCCCGGAAAGGAAGGGACTTCGCCTCTCTATACTTATATATATTTGTACTGTTGATATGTTTGTATTATCTGTCCATTTTTGTATTTATTGACTCCAATGCCTTGTTAACCTGCTGTTTTGGACAGAACAATTTCCTATGTTGGGATCAATACATGTCTAATCTAATCCAATTTAAAGTAAATTATAGAAAAAAGAAAACCAGAAAATATCAACGTGTAGAATATGCATATGAACAACTCTGTATTTCAGGGAGACAAAGGAGATAAAGGTGACATGGGAGACAGAGGACTGAAGGGTCACACTGACACAAAGGTGATCAGGTCTAGAAAAATCCCCTTTTACCGATGTTATGGTATAATATTTAATATCAAAATGAAGTGTTGGAGTAGTTGAAGTACATAATGTGTTTTCATATGTGTTTTTTAGGGGGATATGGGACTAATGGGACTCCAAAGGGAAGTTTGGTAAGAACCATTATAATCTCTGGCATTTATTTTGATTGTGTTTTTGAGTGACACTTTTCCAGCGATTACACTGGTCCGCCAATTACAGACTCATTTTATTTGTGTGCACAGGGAGACACAGGAATGGCAGGAGATCTCGGGATTAAGGGAGACAGGTGTGTGAAGCTAATCGGTGTTTTGAGATCTCATCATGTGTGTTAAAATGCGTCAACTTGTCCTTGAGAGGATTAAAACAATATGTGTGTGTTTTTCAGGGCCCTCCTGGTATCACTGGACTCAAAGGAGAGGTATACAAATAAAACTACACTCTGTACTCTTCTTACATTACTGTTACTTTACTGTTGCCTGAGTATCTTTCATATAGAAATTGATCCTTGCCTAGCTGTAACACAATGGATTTGTAGCGACCAGACAGAAGTGGAAGTAGTGGAGTACAAATACTTCACTACTGTACTTGAGGACATTTTTTGACGACTTTTACTTTGACTTACATGTTGAACACAAATACCTGTACTTTCTACTCCTACATGTTGACCCAAATACTGTACTTTCTACTTCTTACATGTTGAACACAAATACCTGTACTTTCCTACTTCTTACATGTTGAACACCAAAACCTGTACTTTCTACTTCTTACATGTGAACACAAATACCTGTACTTTCTACTTCTTACATATTGAACACAAATACCTGTACTTTCTACTTCTTACATATTGAACACAAATACCTGTACTTTCTACTTCTTACATATTGAACACAAATACCTGTACTTTCTACTTCTTACATTTTGAACACAAATACCTGTACTTTCTACTTCTCACATGTTGAACACAAATACCTGTACTTTCTACTTCTTACATTTTGAACACAAATACCTGTACTTTCTACTTCTCACATGTTGAACACAAATACCTGTACTTTCTACTTCTTACATGTTGAACACAAATACCTGTACTTTCTACTTCTTACATGTTGAACCCAAATACCTGTACTTCTACTTCTTACATGTTGAACACAAATACCTGTACTTTCTACTTCTTACATATTGAACACCAAAATACCTGTACTTTACTACTTCTTACATGTTGAACACAAATACCTGTACTTTCTACTTCTTACATATTGAACACAAATACCTGTACTTTCTACTTCTTACATATTGAACACAAATACCTGTACTTTCTACTTCTTACATGTTGAACACAAATACCTGTACTTTCTACTTCTTACATATTGAACACAAATACTGTACTTTCTACTTCTTACATATTGAACACAAATACCTGTACTTTCTAACTTCTTACATGTTGAACCCAATACCTGTATCATTCTACTTCTTACATATTGAACACAATACCTGTACTTTCTACTTCTTACATGTTGAACACAAATCAAATACCTGTACTTTCTACTTCTTACATGTTGAACACAAATACCTGTACTTTCATACTTCTCACATGTTGACACAAATACCTGTACTTTCTACTTCTTACATGTTGAACCCAAATACTGTACTTCTTACTTCTTAAACTTTGAACACAAATACCTGTACTTTCTACTTCTACATGTTGAACACAAATACCTGTACTTTCTACTTCTTACACTTTGAACTCAAATACCTGTACTTTCTACTTCTCACATGTAGAACACAAATACCTGTACTTTCTACTTCTTACATGTTGAACACAAATACCTGTACTTTCTACTTCTCACATGTTGACACCAATACCTGTACTTTCTACTTCTTACATGTTGAACCCAAATACCTGTACTTTCTACTTCTTACACTTTGAACACAAATACCTGTACTTTCTACTTCTTACATGTTGAACACTAATACCTGTACTTTACTACTTCTTACATGTTGAACACAAATACCTGTACTTTCTACTTCTTACATGTTGAACTCAATACCTGTACTTTCTACTTCTTACATGTTGAACTCAAATACCTGTACTTTCTACTTCTTACATGTTGAACTCAAATACCTGTACTCTTCTACTTCTTACATGTTGAACTCAAATACCTGTACTTTCTACTTCTTACATATTGAACCCAAATACCTGTACTTTCTACTTCCTACATGTTGAACACAAATACCTGTACTTTCTACTTCTTACATGTGAACTCAAATACATGTACTTCTACTTCTTACATGTTGAACACAATACCTTACTTTCTACTTCTTACATGTTGAACTCAAATACTGTACTTTCTACTCTTACATGTTGAACTCAAATACCTGTACTTTCTACTTCTTACATGTTGAACTCAAATACCTGTACTTTCTACTTCTTACATGTTGAACCAAATACCTGTACTTTCTACTTCCTACATGTTGAACCAAATACCTGTACTTTCTACTTCTTACATTGTTGAACTCAAATACCTGTACTTTCTACTTCTTAAATGTTGAACACAAATACCTGTACTTTCTACTTCTCACATGTTGAACTCAATACCTGTACTTTCTACTTCTTACTGTTGAACTCAAATACCTGTACTTTCTACTTCTTACATGTTGAACCAAATACCTGTACTTTCTACTTCTTACATGTTGAACTCAAATACCTGTACTTTCTACTTCTTACATGTTGAACACAAATACCTGTACTTTCTACTTCTTACATGTTGAACACAAATACCTGTACTTTCTACTTCTTACATGTTGAACTCAAATACCTGTACTTTCTACTTCTTACATGTTGAACCCAAATACCTGTACTTTCTACTTCTTACATGTTGAAATCAAATACCTGTACTTTCTACTTCTTACATGTTGAACCCAAATACCTGTACTTTCTACTTCCTACATGTTGAACACAAATACCTGTACTTTCTACTTCTTACATGTGAACTCAAATACATGCTACTTTCTACTTCTTACATGTGAACACAAATACCTGTACTTTCTACTTCTTACATGTTGAACTCAAATACCTGTACTTTCTACTTCTTACATGTGAACTCAAATACCTGTACTTTCTACTCTTACATGTTGAACTCAAATACCTGTACTTTCTACTCTTACATGTTGAACTCAAAATAGCCTGTACTTTCTACTTCTTACATGTTTGACCCAAATGACCTGCTACTTTCTACTTCTTACATGTTTGACTCAATACCTGTACTTCTACTTCTTACACTGTTGAACACACAAATACCTGCTACTTTCTACTTCTTACATGTTGAACTCAAAATACCTGTACTTTGCTACTTCTACATGTTGAACTACAAATACCTGATAACTTTCTACTTCTTTACTATGTTTGAAACTCAAAATCACCTGTACTTTCTACTTCTTATCATCGTTGACTCAAATACCTGTACTTCTTCCTACTTCTTACATGTTTGAACACAAATACCTGTACTTTCTACTTCTCTACATGTTGAACTCAAAGACCCTGTACTTTTCTACTTCTACATGTTGAACTCAAATACCTGTACTTTCTACTTCTTACATGTTGAACCAAATACCTGTACTTTCTACTTCCTACATGGTGAACACAAATACCATGTACTTTCTACTACTTCTTACATGTTGAACTCAAATACCTGTACTTTCTACTCTTACATGTTGAACCAAATACCTGTACTTTCTACTTCTTACATGTTGAAACTCAATCCCTGTACTTTCTACTTCTTACATTTTGAACTCAAATACCTGTACTTTCTACTTCTTACTTGCTTACATGTGAACCCAAATACCCTGTACTTTTCTACTTCCTACATGTTGAACACAAATACCTGTACTTATACTTCTTACATGTTTGAACTCAAATACCTGTACTTTCTACTCTTACATGTTGAACACAATACCTGTACTTTCTACTTCTCACATGTTGAACTCAAATACCTGTACTTTCTACTTCTTACATGTTGAACTCAAATACCTGTACTTTCTACTTCTTACATGTTGAACCAAATACCTTACTTTCTACTTCTTACATGTTGAACTCAAATACCTGTACTTTCTACTTCTTACATGTTGAACCCAAATACCTGTACTTTCTACTTCTTACATGTTGAACACAAATACCTGTACTTTACTTCTTACATGTTGAACTCAAATACCTGTACTTTCTACTTCTTACATGTTGAACCAAATACCTGTACTTTCTACTTCTTACATGTTGAACTCAAATACCTGTACTTCTACTTCTTACATGTTGAACCCAAATACCTGTACTTTCTACTTCTACATGTTGAACACAAATACCTGTACTTTCTACTTCTTACATGTTGAACTCAAATACCTGTACTTTCTACTTCTTACATGTTGAACACAAATACCTGTACTTTCTACTTCTTACATGTTGAACTCAAATACCTGTACTTTCTACTTCTTACATGTTGAACTCAAATACCTGTACTTTCTACTTCTTACATGTTGAACTCAAATACCTGTACTTTCTACTTCTTACATGTTGAACCCAAATACCTGTACTTCTACTTCTACATGTTGAACACAAATACCTGTACTTTCTACTTCTTACATGTTGAACTCAAATACCTGTACTTTCTACTTCTTACATGTTGAACACAAATACCTGTACTTTCTACTTCTCACATGTTGAACTCAAATACCTGTACTTTCTACTTCTTACATGTTGAACTCACAATACCTGTACTTTCTACTTCTTACATGTTGAACCCAAATACCTGTACTTTCTACTTCTTACATGTTGAACTCAAATACCTGTACTTTCTACTTCTTACATGTTGAACACAAATACCTGTACTTTCTACTTCTTACATGTTGAAAACCAAATACCTGTACTTTCTACTTCTTACTGTTGAACTCAAATACCTGTACTTTCTACTTCTTACATGTTGAACCCAAATACCTGTACTTTCTACTTCTACATGTTGAACTCAAATACCTGTACTTCTACTTCTTACATGTTGAACACAAATACCTGTACTTTCTACTTCTTACATGTTGAACACAAATACCTGTACTTTCTACTTCTTACATGTTGAACCCAAATACCTGTACTTTTACTTCTTACATGTTGAACTCAAATACCTGTACTTTCTACTTCTTACATGTTGAACACAAATACCTGTACTTTCTACTTCTTACATGTTGAACTCAAATACCTGTACTTTCTACTTCTTACATGTTGAACTCAAATACCTGTACTTTCTACTTCTTACATGTTGAACTCAAATACCTGTACTTTCTACTTCTTACATGTTGAACCCAAATACTGTACTTTTACTTCTTACATGTTGAACTCAAATACCTGTACTTTCTACTTCTTACATGTTGAACACAAATACC